GAGGGACAGTGCAGGAGAGGAAGACCCTCGATGAGATGGATTGAGTCTGTGAGTGGAGTGGTGGGAATGTGTTTGAGAGGCAGGGTTGGCACAGGATAGAACGGCGTTTAGGTTTCTTGCACATAGGGTTGCTATGAGTCACAAGCAACTCGATGACACATAACAAGTCTTCCTTTGGCTCTACTCACGAGAAATAACTGTGAATCTAACTAGTATGAAATTGTTGACAATTTCAATCTTGCTCCCTCTATAATGATGTTGTCTATGATCCAGTGGTGAAGATTTTTGTCTTCTTATTGTTAAGAGGCAACCCATATTGAAGGTTTTAGTCCTTGATCTTCTGCAGCAAGTGCCACAAGTCCTCTTCACTTTTAATGAGCAAGGTTGTATCATCTGCGTAACATGGGTTATTGACTCATTTTCCTCTGAACCTCTTCATAAAGTCCAGCTATTGGAGTGACTTTTCAGCTGATTAAACAGGTATGGAGAAAAGATATAGCCTTGATGCACACCTTTCCTGACTTTAAACCATGCAGTATTCCCTTGCTCTGTTGCATAGCTTCTTGGTACAGATTTCACATGAGCACAATCTAGGATTCTCATTCTTCTCAATTTTAGACATAATTTTTTTGTGATCCACACAGTTAAATGCCTTTGTACAATCAATAAAACACAGATAGACTGTGTTCTGGTATTCTCTGCTTTAGGCCAAATCTGACATCAGCAATGAAAAAAAAAAAAACCCAAAAGAATTCTATGCAAATGCTGGCTGTTTTTAAGTATTAATGAAACAAGATATTAAATAGTTCTCAAGGGAAGTAATAATGGATTTAAAAATTAAGATAATGTCTAGCTTTACCCTCTGGTGGCATAGTGAGCAAGGAATTGTGCTGCCAAACCAAAGGCAAGTGGTTTGGATACACCACCTGCTCTATGGGACAAAGATGGGACAGTCTCCTTCCCTGTGATTTACTGCCTCTGAAAACCCACTGGCGGGTCAGCTAGTAGTCATTTCCTACTTAACAGTGATGAATATTTCTATTTTGCATTCAAAGATAAGTCATTATCCACATGAAACTTATAGATGCAGAGACTAAATCGCTTACCTCTTCACCTTCAGTACTGTAACAGTTACAAAGTTGACAAAGCCTATTACTATTGAGATTTTTCCAAATAGGCCTGAAGTCAATTTAGAAGGCTGCTGCCTCTGCAACAGTCTCAGCTTCTGTAGTTATTTTCCTCAGCTCAAGGTCATACCTCTTAATTTTAAAAAAAGGATAAAAAAAATTCTGTTGCATCTTGGCATCTGCTCAAATCTTCCTCCCCTCCCACTAAGCTCTTGCTTTTATTTTTTGCTAAATTATGCATCTTTTACTTCTTGACCCTAACCCTTCTCTGGCCCTATTATGTACTGACCTAATAAATATGTAATTGAATAAATTTCTTCTCACAAAGTTTCTCTCAGTATGTGTGCATTAGTTTTGTTCTGAGAGGCAAATGGTGTTTCTAATGTACACAGAGTAAGTTTGGTTTTTCACCTCCTATGGGGAGAAAGGGAACTTTATTTTATTTTTTGTTGTTGTTGTTGTTTTATTATTATTAAATTTTATTAGTTTTAATGAACATTTACAGAGATTTTGGGTTTTCATTCATTCATTGTTGCACTGTTTTCTCCACCCTCCTCCCCAGTTCGTTCTTCTTCCCCACCCCCCGCCAATGTCTGTTTTAATTGTCCAATTGCCACAGTGCTTGTCAAAGCCAG